ATTAAAATAAACATAGTTGATCCATTCCACATTCTTATTTAATGCTATCCAAGGAAGAATTGACTCTACACCAGCTATTACCTCATCTCTTGCCTGAAACTCAACAGGAACACCTGTGGGCAAACCTATGGCATTCAAATGTACTTTATGATCAAACACATCATACCTCTTCGTCCTACGTCTATTGGTAGTCTCCAGCTGGAGTAATTCACTCACACCTTCATGCAAGATAGTCACTGGAACTTTCATACGTACTAGCGTACACAACCCAACCCGAAAACTTGGCAAAACATTCATTAGAGCATCACCACCACACATCCAGTAGCTGTCGGCCGCTGGAATGTCTTGTTACCTAGTAGATCCAGAGTAGGAATCATCATCGATATGTCATCACAATCCTAAGAGTTACAGGGTTTTCATACCAAACGGTGTCATATTTGCATGCAGGAACCAGGACAATACCCAAGTGACTTTACAGTTGACAGATGTGTCACCTACGTCCGCTCCTCCATCGTCAGCGAAACCTCCACTTGCAAAACATTCATAATCAGCACTATAGTCAGTTTTGTAGTCTGTTGGAGGACCATTTTGGTCTGTTTGGATTGCAAATTCGGCACATTCATCTTGGATGTTATATTCTGCATATTTTTAGCATATTTGTACTTATCTTGTGTACCATGAAGCAATCTGCATTGAAGTCCACACAATGGCAACTTAAGAAGAGGTGGAATCTTTTTATTGATCTCTATTTCCTTTCTAGTCTAGTCTGCTGCTACTTTTCTGTCTCTCACCCAGCGCTGCCCGTGAGTGTGAAATGAAGAGGACGCTTCTCCGGCAGCCAAATGAGATTTGCTCTAAAACACTGGAATCGAGAGTGTGATTTCTCAACTTTTAAACAGATTGAATTTTTCCAATAGCACCAACTGTTGCTGCGTTACGGAAACTCAACGTGTGAAATGTGCCGGCGTTGGTTCTACCTGTGTTTTCGTGACAAAAGTGCATCCAGGCCTGGTAAAGTAATGCAGGGTAGTCCTTTCCCATCGCGTTTGTAAAGAATTACTGTACACTGTAAATATTGTGCGGAAGCTAAATCGTAGATCTAACTGAAATCACAATTTCTGCCACAAAAATATTCCAACTCAATGCCTTTCTAAAATTGTTGAGCCCTTCCATCACCGACTATTCTCTCTTTTATCTAACTTTTGCACTTTTTATTCGTTGTGAGTCTTGGTGACCTGAGGACAGGATGCAAGCGTATCCGAGGGATGCAAATCTTACAACAACCCACGATTCAGTTAGATTCTGATTCTCAGTTTTAATGAAGGCTTTTGGACAGAAACGATTCCGAGTCTTTATAAATAAGAATCGTGATTCGGATGTGAATTGTTAATATTGTAGAAGTGGTAAATAATATTGTTGCTGTTATATTCTATATAAATATAGAACATCACATCTTATTGGTCTTTGAATGTTTAATCAGAAGATTTAGGATTCTTTCAGCGATCAAACACACGTCGTGTCAGTTCAGACAGTCGGGTTTATAAAAAGTAAGACATTTATTTTCTAAACAAATTAAAACATGACAACTATAAACAAGACGAATGTGATGGATGAGTGTAAGTGGATGGGATGGTGACTGAATGGTGTGTGTTTATCAGAACCTTGTAGCTAGAAGAAACGGAGTTTGGGTGTGGAAAGAATTTGGTCTGCATTAAACTACGAAGTTGGTTCTTATCAAAACGGCATCAGACGCAGTCATGCTGTGTCTACGTACCCGATCCTGGAGACCCTGTTTAAATCCGAGATGTCTAGGAGTCGGTGACCCCAAATGCACGCGGCTCGTAGGAAAACCTCGGTGCGACCAAGTCAGTCCTAGGACGTCTCCCGAGTCACAACAGTTAGATGAAATCGTTTGCGTCTAGAACAGCTGTTTCTGAATAGCTGAAGGAGCAAGCTTCTGTGCCGCTGCAGGCAGCTTTTGGCTTGTAGAAAGCTTTGATGGTTCAGAGAGTTTTGCTCGGGCTGGCCGGTCTGGAGCTCTGCTCAGACTAACTGGATCTCTCAGCTAGTGGTTCTGTTTTAATATTCCCATGTTATGATTACACGGCCAATCAGGACAAAAGAGGTGTTAACAAAGAAACCTCAGAACACGCGCCTTTCCCAGACACAAGAATGTTCTAGTTCTGTGGATAAAGAGTCTGTATGTGCTGTGACGTTAACTTTAATTCATCTCTAGTGAACATTGTGTCTGAGTGTAGATAATGGTTCACTTGGTTAACCAGACATTATTGAATTGGGCACAGATTATTCAAACATTAATAACATTTGTTCATTCAACCATATTATTTACTGATTATTTAACTTATGAGCTGTAAAAGTCATCGTTCATGAGCGTGAGCAATCCTGCAGTCTTATCAGAAGAAGGCTTGGTTTGGGAACATAGGCTGACATCTTGGTCCTCCTGAAATGTCAACAACCACTGCAGAATCTCCTGGCTTGTTGGAAGATGGATGTAAAATCCACTTTAGAGAGTGGAAATATGTCTGCAGGTGACCGGTGGCATGTAGGTCAATGTGTAGGTGAAAAATGACCCTTTCTGGGCGTTACAATATAAAATGTGAAGTTTGTTCTCACTGTTTCCACGCTTTGGTTTTTTTTCTTTGACTGGTGTTTCTTCAGCTGTCGTTCATAATTTTGGCAGGAATCTGCGCCTGTCTCTACTTCCTCTTCCTTTGTTTCATGGTGTTTCAAGTCTTCCGTAACATCAGTGGGAAGAGGACATCCCTACCTGCCATGTCTAAGGCCAGACGTCTCCACTATGAGGTGAGTTCAATATGCTGTGATTTTTCTTTTTGTTTAATAGAACAAAAATGATCTGTATGTTCGCTGTTTTCAAACCTCTTTTTTATGGATCAAAGATCAGATTGAATATTAGATTTTAGCCGTGAGATTGAAAAGAGGGAGTCGAGTAGGCATTACGGTCAGCCACAAGACAACCTCAGCATGTCAAATTAGACTTTTTACTTAGTTTAACTAAAGTCTTTTTATTCTAGTCCTTGGGAACCACTGTCCTGATAATATTCCAGTTAACTCCATATAATAAAATGATGAAATATCTAGATGATGCAGAGCTGAGTATCCAGAGACAGGTTCTAAATGTATATAATAGTTCTGTGTTTTAAATGGAATTAAAGTCATTTATTTAGGAAATTATATGAAATAAATGTCCCACATTCTGCTTGGTTTACACATTACTTGATTACAAATGAATTAAACAAACTGGATCCCAGAAGCTGGTTATGTCTGATTAAAAGTGGAGATTGTGTTGATTCTGGCTCAGCAGATGTTTAAAGTAGTTAAAAATATAAAACAGTGACTGTAATAAAGGCCAGGATGTCTGCTAGCCAGCCTAGCGTAGCAGGCCGTGTTAGCATTAGTCAGACTAAACATAATACTATCATATTATACTAATGCCTGCTACGACCCCAGCCAGGTCTAGGAAACCCTGGCAAGTCCAAAACAGGAAAGGTGGATAAAAGAGTGGACTCACACAAATCACCTTAAATGTTTTTTAACAGAAAGGGTCCCCGTTCCTGCAACGCAATAAGACAAAACTAACGACACTACGTGTTAATAATGACCAATAAGATGTGATGATTTCATACAAATATGAAATATCAACCTGATTGGTTTTTGAATGTTTAGTCAGACGATTCCAGGGTTCTTTACTTGTTCAGGGATCATAAACACACTTCGTATTAGTTCAGACAGTAAATAGTTTATAAAATGAATTTCATTATTTTTCCTAAACTGTCATGACTCCCGTCCTTCACCCTCCTCCACTTCCTCATTATACCTTCATTCATTTCACCTGGTTCCTCTCACCAAGCTCCAGCCAAGTCCTGTTTTCCCCAGCAACCTCTGTCAGCTTCAATCAGCTCCATTCATTCCACCTGCTCCTGTAATCAGCCTCATCCCATTCACCTGCTTCCCCTGCTATAAAAGAACCAGCCATCCAGTCAACAGATGCCAGATTATTACAGCCTTGCCAGTAGTTCTCCAGCCATCCACCCTGCCTGATCTTTGCCTCTGGACCTTGTTTTTTGCCTGACCCCTGCCTTGACCTCTGCCTGCCACTTTGACCTTAGCCTGTCTCTGACCCTGCCTCAGCCTTGCCCTCCAGGTACCTCTGCTTTCAATAAAGACTTTTTATATATATTTTTACTGTGTTGGCGTCTTCACGGGTCTTCTGAGTTCTGTTTGTGACAGAATAATCTGGCCAAAAATCTGACCCAATGCTGACACAGCACTTGGAGTATTTTTTTTTCTTCTTTTTTTTCATCGTACCTGTCATGGAGGATCTCACGCTCCTGGAGTTTATGGAGCTAGAGAAGGAGCAGGAGTCACCGTTCTGGGGAACGCGGCTGGCCATCAGGCCAGAGCCACGCAGAGGCTCCACTCCTCTGTCCAGGCCTGCTGCAAACGTCTTGTGCAGCGGGTTCATGACCACGCCGCTGCAGCCTCAAACCCCTCCTGTCAGGTCACGACGGCGGCGGTCCCGGAGGTTTTCTGGAGCTGATAAGAGGGTTGATCCTTCTCCCGTGCTGGTGTCGGCGGGTTCCACGGACGGCACCTCATGTTCTGCTTCTGGACCGGTCCCGACGGAGGAGATTGTTCAGGGGATGATGCAGTTGGTCGAGGAGGCTGTGTGGGAGGTCTTTGCCAAGCCAACCTGCCCCCACTTACGTCTGCGGGCGGCTGATAGGTTAAATGTCATCTTCTCCACCCATCCAGAGTTGATAGCGGTCCCAGCACTTGGTAATTACTACCTTTATGTCCGGAGGGTATATGGGTCTGCACTGAAGGATGTTGCCATGGAGGGTCTGACCTGCTGTGAGAGGTGGTCACCTTCCCCAGAACCCTCCAACGTGTCGCATCCTGCTCCGGCAGTGGTCCCGGTGGACGCATCGCATCCTGCTCCGGCAGTGGTCCCGGTGGACGCATCGCATCCTGCTCCGGCGGTGGTCCCGGTGGACGCATCGCATCCTGCTCCGGCGGTGGTCCCGGTGGACGCATCGCATCCTGCTCCGGCGGTGGTCCCGGTGGACGCATCGCATCCTGCTCTGGCGGTGGTCTCTGAGGACGCATCGCACCCTGCGCTGGCGGTGGTCTCTGAGGACGCATCGCACCCTGCGCTGGCGGTGGTCTCGGAGGACGTATCGCATCCGGCTCTGACGGATGAGGTCCAAGGGGCTCCGGCCCAGCCTGTCAAAGGGGCTCCAGTCCAAGGGTCGACGCCTCCAGGCTCTAAAGAGGACCTCTCCTGCCCCTGCTCTGAAGAGGACCCCTCCTGCTCTCAAGTTCCCCAGTCTGAAGTTCCCCAGTCTGAAGTTCCCCAGTCTGAAGTTCCCCAGTCTGAAGTTCCCCAGTCTGAAGTTCCCCAGTCTGAAGTTCCCCAGTCTGTGTCCCCTCTTGGTCATGGTCCAGTTTCCCCTCTTAGTCCTCGTCCACCAGTGTCCTCTATCACCACAGTCCCGGCTCCTGGTTCCCCGTCGCCGCCCCCCAGGCTCCAACAGTCCCGGCTCCTGGTTCCCCGTCGCCGGCCCCCCAGGCTTCAACAGTCCCGGCTCCTGGTTCCCCGTCGCCGGTCCCCCCTCCTCCCGCCGTGCTCTGGCCCTCCTTCCTGGTCCCCCTCCTCCCGCCCTGCTCTGGTTTCCTGTGGGCGTCTGGTATCCGCCCTTGAGGGGGGGGTTCTGTCATGACTCCCGTCCTTCACCCTCCTCCACTTCCTCATTATACCTTCATTCATTTCACCTTGTCCTCTCACCAAGCTCCAGCCAAGCCCTGCTTTCCCCAGCAACCTCTGTCAGCTTCAATCAGCTCCATTCATTCCACCTGCTCCTGTAATCAGCCTCATCCCATTCACCTGCTTCCCCTGCTATAAAAGAACCAGCCATCCAGTCAACAGATGCCAGATTATTACAGCCTTGCCAGTAGTTCTCCAGCCATCCACCCTGCCTGATCTTTGCCTCTGGACCTTGTTTTTTGCCTGACCCCTGCCTTGACCTCTGCCTGCCACTTTGACCTTAGCCTGCCTCTGAACCTGCCTCAGCCTTGCCCTCCAGGTACCTCTGCTTTCAATAAAGACTTTTTAATATATTTTACTGTGTTGGCGTCTTCACGGGTCTTCTGAACTCGGTTCCTGACATAAACTAATAATTATACATGACAAGATATGAATAATGAAATGTCATGTAATGATATGACGTGATCTAATGTTAAGTGTGAAATGCTGTAATGGAAGCTAGGTGTTTTAGCAAAACCGTTATTTGTATCTGACAGTTTGTGAAGTCTAGGTTGTAAAATAATTTGTTGTTTGGTTGTAAACTAGAGTTGTTTAAACTCTTTCGACGCCAGTGTGTGGGCTAATGATACCCTTTCATGAGTTGCTCCCGGCGGTCCAGATGGGTGTGGTCCAAGTGGTGAGGTCACCGGAAGTCAAAACCACAGAACTCAGAGATTGGTAGCTTCCTCTGAGTTCAGCTTCACCGGCCATGAGATGCAACCCGGGGTCTGCGGTTACGTATCTGAGGTGTGATGTAGCTCTGAAAAGAGCTGCTTGTAAACATGGAAGTAATTATAACTTTAGATGGGGGTGGGGGGGCGGTGGGGGTGGGGCATATCTTTACAGTATGTTCTAATGGGAAACGGGCTCCAACACAAACGGCTGTTTTCCTCTTCATCGTAGAGCTCAACCTGTGTTTATTTAATGTAGCACATTATTGTTTCTGATGGTAGAAAGTGCCGGGCTTAAAACTCGACTACATCTATGTCTGTAAATCACTCGCAGCGTCACAGAGAGGTTTTGACTGGAGATCAGAGGAGATGGTTTCAAAAAGGCTTCTTCCCTGAGTTGGCCGAATCGGGAGTCAGCTAGAAACTGAATTAATCGGGAAGTAATTCTTGTTTTATTGAACTCCTCGTCGTGGTCGTCCTCTTCCTCCGCGTATCCGGGCCCGGGTCGCGGGGGCAGCATCCCAACTAGGGAGCTCCAGGCCGTCCTCTCCCCGGCCTTGTCCACCAGCTCCTCCGGCAGGACCCCAAGGCGTTCCCGGACCAGATTGGAGATGTAACCTCTCCAACGTGTCCTGGGTCGACCCGGGGGCCTTCTGCCGGCAGGACATGCCCGAAACACCTCCCCGGGGAGGCGTCCAGGAGGCATCCTGACCAGATGCCCAAACCACCTCAACTGGCTCCTTTCGATCCGGAGGAGCAGCGGTTCTACTCCGAGTCCCTCCCGAATGTCCGAGCTCCTCACCCTATCTCTAAGGCTGAGCCCGGCCACCCTACGGAGGAAACTCATTTCGGCCGCTTGTATCCGCGATCTCGTTCTTTCGGTCATTACCCAAAGCTCATGACCATAGGTGAGGATTGGGACGTAGATCGACCGGTAAATCGAGAGCCTGGCTTTCTGGCTCAGCTCCCTCTTCCCCACGACAGATCGGCTCAGCGTCCGCATCACTGCAGACGCCGAACCAATCCGCCTGTCGATCTCCCGATCCCTCCTACCCTCACTCGTGAACAAGACCCCGAGATACTTAAACTCCTCCACTTGAGGTAGGACCTCTCCCCCGACCCGGAGGTGGCAAGCCACCATTTCCCGGTCGAGAACCATGGTCTCAGATTTGGAGGTGCTGATCCTCATCCCAGCCGCTTCACACTCGGCTGCGAACCTACCCAGCAAGAGCTGAAGGTCAGAGCTGGATGAAGCTAACCTGAAGCTTACCCGTTAACTCTAGAGTTCATTTAGAGTCCTGACTAGAACTTTCAGGGCTCTACATGGTCAAGCTCCTCCCTATATTACTGACCTGTTAAAGCCTTATGCTCCAACCCGAGCCCTCAGGTCCACACACCAGAACCTTCTAGAAGTTCCAAAGACCAGATATAAAAGTCGAGGTGATCGCTCCTTCCAGACGGTTGCACCCCGACTCTGGAATGATCTTCCTTTATCCTCACGCAGCGTTGGTAGTCTGGACACTTTTAAAAACAGCTGAAGACCCTTTTATTAAAGCTGCTTCTACAGAAATGTTTTATTTTCTTATTATAACTCAAATTAAAAATCATCTTGCATTTGATTTATATTTACTTCACTTTGGGTTTTATGTCCTTTTTTAGGGTCTCATCTTCAGGTTCAAATTCCTCATGCTCCTCACTCTGTTCTGTGCTGCCATGACTGTCATCTTCTTCATCATCAGCCAGGTGAGTGAGTCAGGTGTTCATCAGAGAATCAAGTCTCATGTGTTTTTTTACTTTTGATATTAAAGTCTGCAATTCTAGAGGCGTACTGAATCTTTAATGGACTTTAAAGCACTGTGTGTGCGTGTGTGTGTGTGTGTGTGTGCGCGCGTGCGTGTGCGTGTGTGTGTGTGTGTGTGCGTGTGCGTGCGTGTGTGTGTGTGTGTGTGTGCGTGTGCGTGCGTGTGTGTGTGTGTGTGTGTGTGTGCGCGCGCGTGTGTGCGTGTGCGTGTGTGTGTGTGTGTGCGTGTGCGCGTGTGTGTGTGTGTGTGTGCCCAGGTTAACCAGGGTCACTGGCACTGGGGCGGACACACGGTGCAGGTGAACAGTGCCTTCTTCACGGGCATCTATGGCATGTGGAATCTGTATGTCTTCGCCATCATGTTCCTCTACGCACCTTCTCACAAACATTATGGGGACGAACAGTCGAGTGGCCAGTGCATCACAGGTAGCTGCACCTTTCTACTAACTTACACTGCTGCTGCTTGCTGTTTTCTTGTTGGCAGTCAAAGCTGCCCATGCAGCCAGAGTGTTTTTGGTGTTAGCGTTGTTAAGGGTGACTAAGTCAGACCCAGATTCCCAGGAAAGGAAGGGTTTCTTTGGCCACCAATCCTGACTCTAATGGACCCCAGGCCCACTTCCAGGGAGAGAGAAAAGGGTTGGGAGCCATGGCAACCATCTATTCGCCAGAGGGTTTACACTCCTGACAGAGCTCTTTGCGGAGTGTTGGGCATCGTTCCCATGGGAAGGGCTGCTCTGTCCAAATTCCTCTCCTGTTTGAGGGAGCTGGAAGTTTCTGTGGAAATCATCTGAAGCTACTTGATATGCTGAGAGCAGCACAGCAAGCAGAAGCAGCCGCCTAGTAGACACAGCATGGTCCTAAATGAGCTGATGTGTCTGTGCAGTTGATGAAGGCGTGAAGAGCGGCGAGAACATCCAGCTGACCACCACCGTCACCCACGTGGACGGTCCCACTGAGCTCTACAGAATGATGGGCAAAGAGGCGCAGGAATAGATGACGTCCTGTCTGAGGCTCCCTCACACCTCCTGCTGCTTTAACCACATCTGTGGATCGAAACGCGTTCCCGTTGGGAGGAGCTTATTTATTCAGCATCGTTACCAGAACAGCAACACTCCTGTCGGTCCTTTCATTTCATTGTGAACTTTCTCTCCACATTTCATATTTTATGCAGTTTGTAAATGTTGCTCAGCTGTTTCACCTCTACAGGTGCTGAAGAGCTGCTTTATGAAGAGGTTCAGATGCAGCAGCCTGGTCAAACCTCTGTCTCCCGAAGCCTTTCAGCCGTTTAGAGCCTTTAGGTGTAAGTCGCTGCTCTCGTTGGGGGGCGCGTACGGACCACAGGGCCACGTTGGGAAATGCATACTGTGTGTTTGTCATGTTACAGTGTTTATCTATTTTTATAACTGCTTTTTTTAGTTTCATATACAGTTTGCATGAAACCAGATTTTTATAGCTGACTACATGTTTAGATTGGTCTCCACTTGTACGTTCATTTGAATAAAAACCTCCTGCTATTCGGGTTTTTATCTGTTTAATTTTAACGACTCTCCGACCATGTGTTCAAGTCTAACTTTATTACGGTAACAAGTGTTTATGTCGTGCTGATCATGGTAAACGGGGAAAATACAGGTGCTGGTCCTCAAATTACAATATCATTACAGCGGTGATTTATTTAACGAGTTCCATTCAAAAAGTGAAACTTGTACATGAGATTCATTCATTACACACGTTATAACTGACAGCTAATAAAAATAGCTCATAATATATAAATATTGTGGAAAGGTTCGATACTGAAGACCCCCTGGTGCCACACTCGGCTAATTAACTCAAAACACCCTCAAAAGCCTTTAAATGGTCTCTCAGTCTAGTTCTGTAGGCTACACATTCATGGGGAAGACTGCCGACTTGGCAGTTGTCCAAAAGACGACCACTGACACCTTGCCCAAGGAGGGCAGGACCCAAAAGGTCATTGCTGGCTGTTCACAGAGCTCTGTGTCCAAGCACACTAACAGAGAGGTGAAGGGAAGGACGAGATGTGGTAGAAAACGTGAACGAGCAGCAGGGTTAGCCACACCCCGGACAGGATTATGAAACAAAACCCATTCAGAAATGTTGAGATTCACGAAGAGTGGACTGCAGCTGGAGTCAGATTCTGGAACCACCACGCACAGACGTGTGCATGACATGGTTTCAGCTGTCGCAGTCCTTGTGTCAAGCCACTGTGGAACTAGAGACGGCGTCAGAAGTGTCTGGTCTGGGCTAAAGCGAGAAGGACTGGACCGCTGCTGAGTGGTCCAAAGTTTGTTCTCTGACCAAAGTAAGTGTTAGCCTGGCAAGCCAGACTAAAAAAGTATATTATTTAGTCTGGCAACGCTCCATTGACGGCTCTCGGCCGTGGGGCGGGTTCTGTCATTGTCTTTCTAAAGGTCTGCATGCTACTGGACAATGATCAACATGATGTACTCACCGCAACAGATGTCTGTAAACAAGGCTGTCTGCTGTTGAGGAGGGCAAACATCCATCCTTTTTCTAAATAAAGGACTTAAATACATCTATCTGCTCCTGATTCTAATAAAGCCCAAGTCCTAATAGTCCATAATTGATGTAAAAGCTGTTTCAAATGTGCTGTCGCCATCTTGTTCGACTCTTGCATCATCCCACCCACCAAACAGAGGACCCTGATGGGCCCACAAAGCAGATGGAGCAGAATGCAGCAACGTCCAGCATCACCACTCAGAGAACTTCATTCATTAGGTTTCTCCGACAGCAGACGGGGATGACACGCCCATACTGGTAACAGGATCATTCACAGCCAGCTACCGACAGATGGCAGGCAGACGCACCATCAGCAAGAGAAAACCTCTCGTAGACAAAGTCAGCCTCTACCTGCAGCACCATCTGGGGATGATCAGCTCACTGATAGCAGGTTCGAGCGGTCATCCTGCTGTTTCAGAACCCCGCCCACCATCAATCAAACAAAACTTCATCAAGCACTTTTCCTACAAAAGTGCAACTCAGTGCTTTACAGTTTAAAATGACCCTACATAACCCCTATTCCTGTCCCACCCACACCAATTAAAATTATTGGCACAGTTGTACCATACCCCCCATGTGCAACTCCCATACACACTTCCATTTAAGAGCATAAGTAAAAATTATATTGGGCTGACTTTAGATGGTCCAGATATGGTAGGGCAAGGAAACGCCATCACAGGAGCCATCTGACCCGGCAGCAGCAGACTAACCGCAGCAGCCGAGGCACCAACACCGGGCACAAAGGGGAGAGAGGGTTTATGCCCCAACTCCACCCAAGCACTACTTGGTTGAGTACACAGGCATCAACCATTGACCACCGCCCCTGAGGCAGAGGGCCCCCACGGAGGAAACACTGGAAGAAAGATTAATATAAGACAAAATATAAAAGAACAGGAACTAATATAATAGTAAATGTGAGTAAATAAATAAATATTAAAATAATATAGAATAAAGTTGTGGTAAAATGTCTTCAATAAAAACATGCAAAGTAACTAATTACTATAATAAATAATAATCGGTTAAAAGCTATGCTAAAAAAAGATGGGTCTTGAGCCTGCTCTTAAAACAAGACCCTGAGGTCCTCCAGCTGCCTGTTCCAGAGGTGAGGGCCATAATACTGGAAGGGCGCAGTGCCGTGAGTATGTTTCCTGACTTTAGGGATAACCAGGAGGTGGCTGCCAGAGGAGCAGAGAGGCTGCGAGGGTTCGGAAGGTAAAAGTAGGTCTGAGAAATATAAGGGCCCAAGACCATTACGACACTTAAAAACCATTAAAAGAACCTTAAAATCGATCCTGAATAATGCAGTAATAGGCCAGTCACATGCTCTCCACTCCTATTACACCCGGTTACCATCAGGTCGGCCATTCAGGGCCCTCCCAGTAAAGGATAAAAAGGGCTTCCTCTAGCTTTATTCCCTCTTCAATCCACCTGTTAAATGACACGCCCCAGCAAAACTGACTGTGACCCCATTACGGTAAATCCAGATCGAACTGGAAATCTTTTACTATATTATTATTCCATTTTAGATTACTTTTAATTAAGTGTATGTAGGTGTGAGTATTCTTTTGAATTGATTGTGTGTGTGCATTTTTTGATGCTGTTTTTATGGACAATGCTGACAGTTTATCTGCGATTAAAGTTCCTAATCGATAAATCGTGAATTTGACTTGATTGATTGACTGGGAAGCCAATGCAATGATTCCAAGGCTGGTGTACTGTGCTCCCACCTCCTGGTCTTCGTCAGGACACGTCCTGCAGAATTTGGCTAAAGTTGTAAGCCTGAGATGCTCTTTTTGGGAAGACCAGAAAGCAGGGCAATAGAGTAGTCTATTCTACTGGTGATAAAAGCACACATCAGCATCTCCATATTGGCCTGAGAGTGGATGGGGCAGACTCTGGCCATGTTCTTTAGATGATAAAAACCTACTTCAGTGATGTTTCTAATGTCAGGTATAAGCTCAGAGTCAAAAATCACACCCAGGTTCTTCACTTGTTGAGAAACTTTAAAAGACAGAGATTGTAATTTTGGTCAAAGTTTCTCTCTCTGAGCGTCAGGACCGATAACTAATATTCAGTTTTGTCCTGGTTGAGCTGGAGAACGTTTTGTGCCATCCAGGATTTGATGTCTAAAATGCCGTTAAAAGTGGGACCATTGGCTGTGTGTTATCGGGAGACACTGAGATACACAACTGTTTATCATCAGCATAACTTTGAAAGTTCTCTTCATGTCTCCAGATGACACCACCAAGAGGGAGCCTATAAAGGTTAAAAAGCACTGGGCCTAAAACTGAACCCTGGGGCACACCACATGGACCCTAGAGTAACAGGTCTTCAACATCCCCAGTGAGTCATGGTGGATGGCTGCTTATACTGAGCCTGTCATGGTCCGTGGTGAGCTGCCTGCCTGTAACCTGGTTTTTCTACTGAGCTTGTTTCCACAGGTGGGCGTGTCTGAGAGCTCCCAGCTGAAGCTGATCTCATCATCAAGGCCAGGAGATTTAAGGAGCAGTGTGACGCTTCACCACGCCGGATGATTTACTCAGTTTGGGTAGCTCTAGCCACTAACCAGACCTTGACATTTTGTATTTTTGCTCGTGATAACCTGTCGTCTGAAAACCCCTTTATGCCCTCTCCTGCTCTTTCCCAGGTTCCTCTTAAAGTCCTCAGCCTCTCCAGAACAAACCCGGATCACAACCTACCTGCCACACTGCTCCATCCTCTGACCGCCCACTCTCAGCCGCTCACCTACCACATCCATTTCGGCTCCTACACCTCTGGACAAACCAACCACCTTTCTTGGATATCCTCAGCTCACCCGGACCCGACAACCCTCCCGGTGCATTTAGTGCTGCCAACAAACAGTAAGACCAGTCTCCAGTTAAATTCCATCTGTTTCCATTAGTTATTCACTCTGTCTCCCTCCTTAGAAACCTCCTCCTGGAGTCCTGCTGCCAGTCCTGCATCTCGTCGAGTCCCGAACCTCCGTTGCCCGTTATTTCCAAGAATAAAACCTTTTACTTACCATCCTGCTCTCCGTGTGTGATTCTGCATGTCGTGGGTCAAGAAACTGTCTCCCGTCATGACAGAGCCAGGCTCCTCTGGAGGTTTCTTCCTGTTGAAAGGGAGTTTTGGCAGACCTCACTGAGGAGAAAACTTTTGTATCAAGAGTTTCAGCTTCTACCAGGACAACTATGTCCAGTATTTCCTCAGGTAAAGACCCACACTCAGGTTTGTCTAAAGCCACGTTACTTTGAGAGGATAAAATATTGTGTTCGATGGTGTCTACCTTCCCTCTGAAGTGGTCTGCAAACTCCTCACAGAAAGCGTTTCAGGGAGTTTCTGAACTTCTCTCAAACGGCTGGACAGACATTTCATTTAATGAGTTATATAACGCCTTCCCACCACCAGTCAAGGCAGCCCAAAGCGCTGAACACGATAAAATACAAACAATTAAATGATCAACGTGTCAAATAAAAAAATATAAACAACTAATTTTAAATTCAGTTAAGAGAACTGGCAGCAGTTAAATAATCTAAGCAGTTAGAAGTCTAAAAAAGACATTAAAACATACTCCTAGGCGACTCCAGACATCTGTAATGCTGTTTTAGTTTGGTTCTAAAAGACCCCAAGGATGTTGCCTAATTTCACGTGGCAGGTGGTTCCACAGCTTGGGAGCCGCAATATCAAAGGCTCTGTCGCCACGGCATTTGTGCTTAGACCTCGGCACAACCAAGAGGTCATCAGCAGCAGAGGGGAGTGAAGAAGAAAACATCTTTTCTATAGCGCCTCTCAAGATAAAAACTACGAGGCGCTTCACAAAAACAAAAAATGTAAAAGATCAAAAAAGAATTTAGAAAATGGTTAAAAATATATATTTCAAATGAGCTAAAAATAGACATATATATATATATAAAGTCCTTATATGAAAAGAACTGTCCTAGACTGGTATCCAAGAAAAACAAGGATGTGAAAATGGAACTGTGGTTGACCAAGGGACTAC